TGAACGAATACCTGCTCCCTGTGTAGATACAAACGGCTCATTCGAAGGAAACAAAAACACAACTTTTTATTTTCAGGTCATTGCAAACTTAAGAAAATATACTAATTATAGTATATTCCATTTCTGCCAATATATCCCCTTAAATCCTCCACACTGGGTCTTTAAAAGGCGATGTAAATGAGGTCCCTGAGTGTGTCTTCCTGGGTTCCACAAATGAGGGGCCTGCACAGTGAAAGCTCTGTCATCTAAAGTGACAAGTTGAGATTTTGGATCCTCCACGCTTGAGGATCTCAGGCACCAACCAGGCTTATATGGAATTAGCAGATCACAGATATAGCTCAACTCAACTCAACTCAAATTCATTTGGAGAGCACACTTAAAAACAACTCACGTTGACTGAAGTGCTGTATGAAAGGAATAAGACGCTAAGACACAAACACAGCTGTCAGGTACACAGCTTATATCTTCAGAGACACAACACACACAGGCACACATCAGAAAAAGCCACATCAGGGGGACTCAAACGCTAATGAGTCAAAGTAGGTTTTGAGCCTGGACTTAGACGAGTCAGTGGAGGGGGCAGATCTGATTGGGAGGGTGACGCTGTTTCATAGTTCAGGGTGAAACACAGCACAGGCACAATCATCGGTGTGATGTGGTCGCTTTTCCTAGTATGAGTTAAAGTCAAGTCCTTGGATGTTTTTCCTGCTGATGCCAGGATAAAGTGTTTTGTAGTCATCAAGCCTGAAGGAGACAGAAGCCTGGATTGCCGAGGAAAGACATGAGCTGATCTTCATTTAATATATCTCTGTGTGAAAACTTCGCTTTCCCTCTGCATGGTGCTCAAACATGACCTCGCTTTTCTTCTACTCTGCAGAACAATGGCATGAGCTCCCTAACTTCCCCAACCCTAACAAGTGGGGTTACGCCATGGTCTCTTTGAACAATGATGTATACGTCACAGGTGAGTGAACTGCACGCAACACAGAAACTTGAGGGGCAAAAATAAAAAACGATGAACAGTTTTGAGCACCAATCTCGTGAGGAATGTAAAACACTGACACTTTTGACAAAGTGCTCTTGTCTGTCTGACAGGGGGCTCGCGAGGTTCGAATACCAACACCTGGTCGACCACAGAGACCTGGAAGTACATCACAAGAGAGGGGAGGTGGGTTACCGTGGCACCCATGCTCCGGCCTCGGACTAACCACACGTCAGCAACTCTCAACGGGGAGATTTACGTCATTGGAGGTAATAAAATAAACATAGTCCTGCATGTGGTGCCTTAAACCTGCAGTGCAATGGAAAACTTTGAGGAGTAGCGCATCTGCCCTCAATCGCTGACCTGTGCTGATAGTTTGTAAGAATTTGCTCTCTTCTTTGTGGTTGAATAGTTTCAGTGATGGCCAAGTTCGAGGAACAGGGCAGTATTTTAGATGAGCGTTTGGGCTGCTCCAACACACATCTTTAAAAGGACAGTTAACCCCAAAATCAAAAATACATATTTTCAGTCTTTGGCATTTTGAGCACCACAAGCCGAGTGCCATCTAGTTCCGTTATATTGAACAGAAGGCAGACATCTCTACGGCCGAAATCTCCAATACCCAGCAACTCACACCAAGACAAATTAGAGGAATAAATAGCTCTACAGGCAAGAGGAAATGTATATGTTTTTGATTTTGGGGTGGACTGTTCCTTTGGGATTCGATCTCATCACTCATTTTACTTACATTTCCTCCTTTAGGCACAACGTCAGATCGTGTTGAAGTCGAGCATTACGACCCTTACACCGACACCTGGGCACTGACGTGCCCGGCCTTGAAATACGTGACTAACTTCACTGCTACGGCGTGTCACGGGAGGCTCTATGTGATTGGCTCGTGTGCTGTCAAGTACAATGCACTGACTATGCAGTGTTACAATCCTGTTATAGGTAAGGATGATTTACGCTAACCTCATGTCTCCAAGGGGTCAGCTCTTTTTTTTTTTTTTTAACCCAACTCTAAATTAAATAATGACAATTTAAAAAATGTTTTATTATTAGCAATATTATTGTATTTTTTTTTATTATGTGTTTATTCATTTAAGGAACAAGAACAGAGAAACGTTGACAGTGGTAGAAGCAGTGTCTGATGTACTGTACACATGTATCATTTCTAACACCAGTCCTTTAATGGGCTTTGATAGTTCAAGTAATCATTAAATTACATGTTACAATTTAGAAATGCATGTGCAGTATTTCATTCATGTATGCAGTCCTGTTGATGTAGCTTCATTTCCAATAGCTTCTGATAGCTTTCTTACTTGCTATGTATTAGTACTCTAACCAAATATTGATTGGTTCATAGTAAGGCTGGGCAATATCTCGATATTTTGGATATATCGATATTTTTTAAAACAAGATATGGAATGCAACGCTATCGTTGACATCAATATGATCCGTTGCTGCACGCTGTCACGCCTGTTTCTCCGCCCCGCAGCCGCCGCTTCTTTCTCCCTCTCTCTCTCTCTCCCTCACACACACACACGCATATTCTGCCCCGCCTCTCCCTGTCCCTCTTTCTGAGCGCCATTTTTCTAAATCATATGTTTTTACATGTTTGTTTTCTTTTTACAGACAGCTGGATCAGTATATGTTCGCCCTTCATCCCTAAGTATTTGTCCTCTCCTCGTTCCGTCTGTGTGGATGGCATCATATATCTGGTTGCCGACAACACTAAGAAAGTCTACTCTTATGATCCAGAGGCAAACATGTGGCAGAAGGTAGACTTAGACAGTCCTCAGTATCGATGCTAATTTCAGAGGATTAAAGCAAAAAAAAGATCAGTTTTATTCTCCTGTTATTTTGCCTTCAGCTGTGTCGTGACTTTCCCCTCTCCTCAGGTCCAGCTTCTCCACATGCTTCACGAGAATGGCGGCCTGGTGTCGCTGGATGGGAAGCTGTATGTCACCGGAGGCCATTGGAAAGGGATGGAGGGGGACTACGGGGTGGAGGTGGAGGTTTACAACCGAGCCGCCAACACCTGGGAGGTGGAGAGCTTCCTGCCAAGACTTTGGTTCTACAGCGGAGTCTGCACCATCTTCCTCGACCCATCCCAGTGGCCTGAGGTTTTCCCCATGGAGTCAGCATAATGGCCTCCTGTCCTGACGGGACTAAACTCAGGGTCAGAGAGTTTACAGAGACGTGTTACTATCATTCATACCGTGTTACAACACAAGTGGAATGTTGATCCCAGGATGTCATTGTGCCCCAGAATAGTGTGTTACATGATTCTCAGGTATTCGTGGCTGTTTTTAGGGCCTTGCTCGGCCGCTGAGCAGGTGTTTATTTATACTTTGTATCATGTGTTTGAGATCCAAATTCCTTTGTGTATTATTGAATAGAGCTTGTGAATCAATAAATCTTTGTAGCATGAGTTTTATTATTGTTATTGGTTGTACATCACCAGTTTGGAATGCTCAGATTATTATTAGGGTCATTTCTGATATGTAGCAACATTTATGCCCGCATAGTTTATGTCCTCTTACTTTCTTTAAAATGTGTCAGATATTTATAACAAATGGCCAGTGTTGGAGATGTTACTTTTGAAATGTATTAGGTGAAAGATTACCGGTTACCTTTTTGGTTACTTTTCTAACAGATGTATTAAACTGCTGAAAAATATCCAGAAATAGGCTCTGCCAAAAAAAAGGGATTCCTGCATGGTGAAAAGATGCAAAGCAACAAAATGATATTCTACATATAAATTTTTAAGTGAAAAGAATATATTCAGATGTAACCCCTTTGTAATCACCAACATTTTGGAATTTAATCACATGTAACTAGTTACTCACCAACACTGCAAATGGTTTAACGTCTACTTTGTCACACAAACACAGAGTAATGACTTTATACAAACCACTGGCGGATGAAGTGCAAAACATTGATCATCTTGTTACAATTCAGTGTTTTGCAGGGAAATCTTTGGTCCTGGCATTCATGTGGATACCACCTGACACTCAAACACCATTGCAGATCAAGTACCCCCTCCCCTCATGGCAACAGAACATCCTGATGGCAGTGACAATGCACCATGCTACACTGTAAAAACTGCTCAGGAATGACCCGAGGAACATGAACCCCCAATCTGATCTAGCATTTGTGGGATGTGTCAGTACCCCAGAGGTACCCCTGATTCATGGTGGGGCCTCCTTGGATCTGACTTGGATATGACCTGTCAAGGCATGGACACAGGGGTGTCCTGTGGTGTCTGGCAGTGGGGCATCGGTGACGGAGCCTTTATATCCCGTTATGAGGCAGGGTACTGCTACGTCCAACGGATGCTTGATCAGATTGGGATCTCAGAAATTTGGAAGCCAGCTGGATGCCCTGAGTTCATCATCACATTCCTTAGGTCATTCCTGAACATGTTTTTTGTGGTGTGGCAGGGTGTGTTATCTTGCTGGCGGGGAATTCCATTGCCATGAGGGGGGTATGGGGCTTGGTCTGCAACTGTGTTTGGATGGGGAGAACGTCAAGTGGCATTCATATGGGGCGGCTGTGGCTCAGGGGTAGAGCGGGTCGTCCACCAGTCGGAAGATCAGCGGTTCGATCCTCCAGTCTGCATATCGAAGTATTTGTGTGTCGAAGATACTGAAGCCCAAATTGTTTCCAATGGCTGTTCATGTGTGAGTGTGTTTAAAAACTGAGTAGCAGGTGGCACCTTGAATGGTAGCCTTGGCCACCAGTGTATGAATGTGTGTGTGAATGGGTGAATGTGACTCGTAGTGTAAAAAGCGCCCTGAGTGGTCGGATGACTAGAAAGGCGCTATACAAATGCAGGTCCATTTATAAAATGCAGCTCCATATGAATGCTAGAACATTGTTTTGTAACTAGATAAAAAATGTCATTCACTTCATCCGTCAATGGTTCTAATGTTTTGGCTGATTGTTATATATATTTTTTTATCATCTTCATTATTTAGTGTATGAAGTCATTGTCTACCCTGTTTGAAAGGCAGATTTTCAGGAAGTGACATAATTTTCTTTGGAGGGAACTCGAAGGGTAAAGTTGAATAAGCGTAAACTTTTTAATGTTTGATCAAAAACAAAATTCAAAAACATATTTGATATAGTTATAAAAGTTCTGTTTTATGTATAGGCGGTTAGCTAAATAAATCTGGATCACTCACAGAGCTAAAGCTAATTTAGCACAACATTTTCCCCCCTGACGTATATAAACCATTCCACCCATAATAATTATTATTTGAGCACCTGAGATTGGCCAATATGTGTTCCAGAGTTAAAAATGGCACTACTCCTATGCAGAAAAAAAATCTTCTCCATAACAGTAATGACCCTTTAATAAAATGTGTTCCTAAAACGTTGTCCAAAAAAAAAAAAAAAAAAAAAAAAGAGTAAATCCTCTCTGTGGAAACACTCCTCAATTTGTCCTCACTGTCTTGATGATCATTAACCCATTGGAATCCAGTTGCTTGTTCTCATGGCGTCTTGCCATGGCAACACCCAAGCCAGCATTCTGTTTCTATGGCAACGGCCCGGAAGCGCCTGGTCACCTTGGCAACGTCGACCTGGGATTAGAGCGGTGCTTGTTGCCTGCAGTCCTTCCTAAAGTTTCCTGGCTAAAAAGTTGTGTCAGTGATTTCTTTTCAACTTTCTTTGCTTATCTGTGAGCAGGTACCAGCTCTGTGCCACCTTTACGTATTTATTGTGACATTATTTTAACGTGAAGTTAAGTTTGTGCTTTGTTTGCGTCAACATTTGACTTCTCTCTACCTTAAACTTTATTAGCGCTAAGCTAACGTTAATGTTCGTCGAATGAAACCATTAATGTTATTAGCTAACGTGTCATTGTTGAGGCTGGGCCAGTTTTGACATGAGTTCTCAACGGGAGCAAGGTGCACACTCACCCAGACTGGAGGCTGTGATTCAGGTGGGTATAACTTCTCCTCTGTGTTAGCTGCCATCTTTAATATTTTAACAGGCTTTTTTTCACGGTTGACACTTTGGCATGTCACAGCAGGGAAATCACAGGTGTAGCTAAGTAATTAACGAAATTAAAGATGGCTGAGTTTCATTTATGCCAGCTGCTTCAGTTTCAGGGCCCTGGTGTTGTGTTTGCTGACTCACACTGTCATGTTTTAATAGGATATTTAAATAGGGCAGTATTGGTTTTAGTAACACCTACTATGACGAGTCAAAATGGCTGCTGTCAAAAAGACCTATTGAGAGAGGAATAACTCAGATAATTTACCAAAGTAAAAGTAGCAGTAAAAGTGTAGAAACTGTCTGTTACAAGTAAAAATAAAAGTCAGACATTCAAAGTTTTACCTGAGTAAATTAACAGCATCAAAATATACCTTAAGTACTCATTATGCAAAATGCCTCATCTCAGAATAATATGTATTTTATTACTGTATTAAAATTACTGATGACATGAACATTATGATGTCGCAGCTGGTAAAGACAAAGCTAATTTTAACAAGGTTATATAGATATAGTTTAGTATTAAGTAGCAGTTTCTAATAATATTTTAGCCTAAATGTAGTAGAGTAAAATATACATCATTTGAATAGAGTAGAAGGATAAAGTAGCAGAAAAAGGGTGTTTCAAATTGCACTAAAGTACAGTACTTGAGGAAGTGTACTCAGTTGCTTTCCTCTACTTGAAATGTAAATTATCACGAATACCACAATAAAGTAATTAAATAGGTCTAAGTGAATTAATTACCCTAATGAATTGAAATATTCAGTGCATTTTGTTAGTGCAAAGTAATTGCCATTTTATGTTACTTCATACTTCTATTACATTACATTTCAGAGGGAAAAAAATGTGCTCTTTACTCCACCTCATTTATCTCTCAGTAATAGTTGCATATTATAACTATAACAATATAATGCAATGTTATAAATAAGAATCCCCCAAAACTATATTTAGTAGTTAAAATAATCTACAACTTGGCCAGCGCAGTTTTGAGTGTCACTTCCATAGTAATTAATTAATCATGATAATCCAATATGTATTCATATTTTAGTTTTTTTTACTGCTCCCGTGCAATACCCTAATAACCTGCAGCTTTAACAAAAGATATTCCCAACTTGGGTTCAATAAAGTACATCCATACATCTAATAATATAAAATACATAATATATAAACCTCTGAAAGGCTCCATTCTGCATAATGAGCACCGTAATTGTTGAGTAAGTACATTTTGTTGCTTGTTTTTCTGTATTTTTACTTTAGTAAAGTTTGAAAAGTAATGTCACTACTTTTATCTAAGTAAGTCTAACCTCAGTGAGTTGGGTCTGCTCAGTTATGTGACATGTTGGGGTGACTGTATGATTGTAGAAGTTGGAGGAGTCTCTGCTTCACTCTGATGGCAGCTCAGGAGAGAGGACGCTGACACTTCCCGGTGATGGACAGGAGTCCGGTGTCATGCCTACACCTGTCCGCACCCGCATCCGGCAGATCATCACCAGTAACCTTGCAGAGCAGCCAGCTGGTAGGAAAGAGAGCTTTAATTCAAACTGAAGTCACGCAGTACAAACAATAAATCTGCCTCGCTAGATGTTATCACTATACCCCATGTGGCAGGATTGACACTTCTGTATGCATGATCTGTTTCCGTATCCCAGGTGAGAGCTCTGAGGTCAGTGAGCTGGAGGAGAGCAGGGCCCTGAGGGAGCAGCTTTCTCCAAGCCAGATGGACCGTAACCAGCCGCGAGTCAAACAGGCCAGTCTCACAGACAGGGTAGGAGTGACACAGGGCGGCCACACATTCTCAGGTCAAGGCCAAGCTGTTGAACGATATTTACATTTAAGCATTTGTGATACTCATGTGATTCTAGTAGAAATATTGTCATCAGAAATAACGAAATGCTCATGTGACATCATCTAGCTAAGTACACATTATCGTCCTGTTATTTTTGATTTAAACAACAATACATGGGGACTGTAGTTTTGTCATGACCATCATAATCATGTCAGTGTGTGTAACTGCGATCATGACAAGCACCTCTTCAAATACTATCTCTAAACACCCCCTGTTACATTTTCCAACCTTGTTTTGCTCCTAACTGCATCGGCAGACATTGTTTATAATGTCAGATGTCAATGCAGCTCTTACAGGCGTTGGAGTATGTAATACTGTCGATGGTGAATTTGTGCAGTTTTGTTTGGAGATGAGATCAAGAGGGTCAACCACACTAGAGCATTGACTGCAAAAAGCTACCTGCATTTGAAATGGAATATGGTTACAGTAAACATCAGTGTACCGCCACTCTTTCCAGCAGGGAAAGCCTTTTGGGGCTGAACAAACAAACAGTGTGGGCAGCTTGAAACAGCTTCGCATGTACTGTAGTGAAAGCTGAGGGAGAGAAAGTTTGGAATATACATGTACAGACTCTCGATTGAATTAATGCAACTTGGCACAAGCACTTTATGTCATACGTTTTTTTTAATTAACTGCTGTAGAATTATAGTGTACATATTACACTAAGTACTGTATAAGATCCATTGTGTGTGTGTGTGTGTGTGTGTGTGTGTGTGTGTGTGTGTATGTGGGGGGGTGAGTGAGTGTGGATGCATGTGCGTGTGTGTTTGTAAGTGTAAATAAGAAAGGGGAGGGTGGTTCATGAAGGGTTTCCTTGTGGTCTGTTCAGGTAGACTCAGACCCCCCTGTGCTCACAGGGACCGGCGTCTCCCTTCACAGCCCCCCATGGTTGCCCCTCCATGTAGCGGCTGCTACATGGGGGGAAAATTGTGAAAGTCACCGGCCTCCTCCCCTGAGACTGTTGAAGAAAAAGCTCATTTTTCATGGGGCACAAAGCGGCCATTTGTGATAACACTGCCCTCATTCTGCTGCTTAAATCTAATGAACTCCCATTGCTTGCTTTACTCTTGGAACTTATTTTAAAACCAAGGCTATAAATATAACTTAATTAGCTTGGCAGATATATTTAGTGTATTTATTTTGTTGATATTTTTAGATGTGTGAAAAGGCACTAAAGAGAAAAAAACATAAGCAAGTGTTGCTGGTATTTGAAGCCCACACCACTGAGTACCAGTTTGAAGAGTGGTGGGGTGCAGGGTTAGCACCAGCGACCCAATCACCAGAATGAATATTGAAATTATGCATTTCTGCAAAACACGGATTAATTTGTACTTTATTATGTATCGCGTATGTTGGAACTATGTTTCATCAACACTGTGGTTAACATGGTTAGGTTTTGGCACAAAAACTACTTGGTTATGGTTAGGAAGAGATTGTGTTTTGGTGTAATACCTGGTTTTGGGGGGCACATTCCTCACTGGAAATGCCTTGATGTCCTGGTAAATAATAGTAGCTTTTTGTGGCACAATACTGTCTGGAAATGCAGTGATCTCTTGTAAAAAAAAAAAAAAAGTTTTCTATGGCATTTTCCCAGCTGAAAATGCAGCAGTGTCTCTGTAAAACACAGCCACTTTTCATGGCACTATCCTTGCAGGAAATGTAGCAATGACATGGTAAAATCAACTGCACTGTGTGGCACTATCACAGCTGAAAATACAGTGATGTCTCGGTAAAAACATCCACTTTTGATGGCACTTTCCCGGCAGGAAATGCAGCAATATCTCCAGTGGAAACATAGCAACAGGTCACTAAAAAGCAACCAGGTTTGGTGGCTAAAAAGACACTGAAGGCGCTATATGATGGCTTGCTAAAAAAACAACAACTGGCTTCGTTGTTTGTTGGTCTCCAACAGTGGTCTGCAGCTGGCAGGATCTTGTGCCATCCACCTTCCTCTCCACCTCCCAATTATAAAGTCAGCTCATATATTAAGAAATGTTGATATGATTCATATAAAACATACAAATTTAACTTGTCCGTGCTTTGCAGAAACCCTAAATGCCAACATTTTCCTCTGATGACTGGGCTCGCACGAGACAAAGATCACAGAAATTATAACTGTTAACGCAGCCGAATGTTTTATCCGGTGGTGTCTCAGGAGTCAACAGGTTCATTACAAGACTCCTGTTGTGACTCGTCTGTTCCAGTGAAAGCTCCTATCTTCTCACTATTTTTCCCCTGCAGAGCAGCATGGTTATTTGGCAGCTATGCTGTGATGTGATGTTAATGCACTGTGCTAATCAATGCCCTAGAGCCAAACATACCGCCTTGGCTGTGGCATCTGTGTGGAGGTAACATTTAGGCCAACAGTCTTACCTGCAGATAGCTTCCTCCCTCAACATTCACTGCCGAAGGGATCGTATTACTAAATATATCATACAATGTATGATCCGTTTAATTTGTCAGCATATTTTGAGGCCCATATCAGTATGTCTCACCTGTATGTGAGAAAGCAGCCAGACAGTACACATTAATCATCAGATCTCATGAGAAGGGCTGGGCATTAATTCAATATAATTGTTTTTTGGCTGTTTAATGGCATCATGCAAATCATGATGATATGCATTCCTCTTGTTAAATTAGGCAGTATGTTGTCCTTTGAGCAGTTCACCCTGCCCCTACAGTAACAGCCATCCTACAGTTGCCTGCTCACAGCTGGAGTCTGACCTCATGTCAGTTCCAAGGGTCAAACAACAAGCCCTCATAACTACATCCAGGCCAGTGTCTTTTAACCTTTGGGATCAGGTTGAAGTGATGTGACCAGGTTATTTTTCACACAATGCCAAAGACAAAGAAACTTTAAAGCCCGCAGCAGGAAGGTGTTAATCTCTCTCACAGGGTTTGATTTCTCCGGTTACATCACCATGTTGTTGTTGCATGGTCATTTTACAGCAGACTTGTGACTATTGAGTCTCTGCTAGTCGCCTGGCAACCTCACAGTGACAACAAAACAAGGAAAATATAAAATATATTAATATATATTATACATAAATTCTTTTATTTTTTCCTTTCAAGACTTCAGGAAGTCACTTCTTCTGGCCAAGAAATTGTCTTGCACATAAACTCCTGTATCATTTGTTATAGTTACACCTCAGTTTTTATGGATTAAAGCTGCAGTGTGTAGGATTTAAGGGTTTTTATTCACAGTAATGAAATCTAATATTCCTAATTATGTGTTCTGTAGTGTAAAATCACCTGAAACCGAGAATCATTGTGTTTTTGTGACCTTAGAATGAGCCGTACATATCTACATAAGGAGTGGGTCCTCTTTCACGGAGCCCGCCAAGTTGCACCAGCACATTTTATTTCCTAAGAGTGTTTTGCCCAGTCCTGCCCTATTGTGCTGTGATTGGCTAGCATTAGTCACATCAACGCAATGAGGTTAGAGGCAGTAAGGACAAAGAGGTCATGGTTGATAACACATTGCACCACTGTGTTTCTACAGAAGCCCAGAACAGACAAACCAAGACCTTGCTCTAGAGAGGGCCTTTTATTTTGTTACGTTACCTGAAGACCACTGTAGTTCTACTACACACTTGGAAACAGAAAGGTGAGGGGAGGGTTATTTAGTTGGTTGTAATCTTTTTTTTTTTAACTTTGGACAGAGCCAGGCTAGCCGTTTCCCTCATTTCCAGTAAGACTGGTGGCTGGCTGTAGCTTCATATTCTCATGTGACTCTGGGTAAGAGAGTGAATAAGCATATTTCCCAAAATGTATACCATTCCTTAAAGGGACAATTTACCACAGTCTGGTGCCAAAAATATAATGAAACTAGATGGGACCCCCCTGTGGTTCTCAAAACGTTAAAAAAAAAAAAAAAAAAGCTAGTTCAGCGGTGCTAGGTGAGCTAACAGTAGATGCATGCTTCCTTCTGCACCTTCAGTGCAATGATACAGTTGGTTGGTGTAGTTCAGTAGAAAGAAAATAGTTCCTACATGAAACTACTCACAACAAGGTCTGTGGATTATCTTGAGTAACCAGGTCATGACTTCTGGAAAGAGACATCGCTGTCGAGTTTTTCAAATGTCAGTTTTTCAACTGCCATCTACTTCCATGAAACTGAAGAGACCACATTTTCCCAACTTTCCTTAAGTCTCTTTGACTTGACAGAAGACCATTAATGCAATACTGGTGAGGTCACACCTCGACTCTGAAAGCCGTCCTCTGTGTCTCTGTTAAGTCACTCAGCATGATCCTTGATGACCCCAGAAAATTGCACATGAACCAGGATAAACCTTGACCCAGTTTGTGAGCTGGATGGTCCCAGGAGGTTGGAGAACATGTTGGGGTGAATTCTGAACCCTCTGTGTTGCTTTTGGAGCCCCGCCAGTGTGCATTTTCTCAGACATAGACATCCATACCCTACTGCCTGAACTCTTTGTCAGTGGCTGCACAATGCTGCAGTGTGGCAGTCAGTTGGATAAAGATAAACTCTCGCTGAATGATTTCTGACACCATCTGCCATTTGCCAGTGCCGTCTGAAATCTTGACTCCCCTGGGTCTCTGCATAAGAACCCTGTCAAACATAGTCAGAGCAGATAAAGTCTGTTTTTAGGGATTGTGTTACTGTCCCCTTTTACCCTGCTACCCCCCTCTGTTTCCAGTTTGTTTTTCCTGCTGGCACAAACCCATTCATTTAGGCTGCAGTTTAAATGGAGCGCTGCCAAAAAGTCTGACTCTTTCAACTATCATGAAATTGTAAAAATTAATTGCCTTCCCCAGAGAGAATACTCTTGAAAGCCCATCCATGCGCTGAATTTTTGATGAAAGTATTCCATTAAACCTTTTCAGCATTTGACATTAAGCTACTCATGTTACCTGACTTTAAAGTCAAACATTAAGCACAGTTTTCGGTTCTTTTT